AAAAAAAAAAAAAAAAAAAGACAGATAAGGTTCAAGTGGTCTGGAAGAGGTACTGTGGAAGCCACCTTGACTGTCATCCCTTCTGGCCTTTCAATATCACTGCCCAACCCACCTCTCTCACACCATTGAAGCCTCAGCTAATAGCCATTGGATTTCTAACCTGAGAGCCTGTTCTTCTGGTCCAAACCTACAGATCAACTTGCCCAGTGCCTGCCCTGCCCAGCCCTGTAGCACTCACTAGGCAGCTGAATCGTTGAGCTGGTATTCTCTTGAGCGGCTGAAGCAGGCCTGCACACCATGGTCAGCCCAGAGCCTCCGGATAACGCCGGAAAGGTCCTCAGGAAGCATGCCTTGCTCCTCAGCAGTGCAAGACAGTGCAAACAGCTGTCTGGCATCATCCTGGGCACAGCAGTGGTGGATGGTCAGTCAAAGGACTATACCCCTACCCCACCTGTCAGAGCAGTGAGTCCTCGGGAATGGGGCCCAGGCTGAGGTATTCTTAGGTTCCCCAGGACAAAACTTTCCCTGAAACCTTATTTGACTGGGGCTAGTAGTGTACATACCGCACGGTGAGGGTCAGCAAAGTCAATCTGCAGGTTGCCCATAGCCTTGACAATGGCCATGATGGACTGGATGGTGTTGCTGTAGACAACTGCCCGGTACTGCCGGCATTCCTCCTCTGAATAGCCATCTTCATGGATGATCCTGACAGCCAGGGGTCAGGAGTTAGGGTCCACAGGGCAGAGGGAGCTGCCTGGGGATGCCTGGGGCTGTAGGGGCCTGCTTTAGACAGAGGGACACTGACCCCGAACCCACTAGCACTTGGGGACAGGTGGGTCTGAACTGGCAGGCAATATAGGCCCAAAAGAAGAGGGGATATCAAAGTTTGGAACTGGCCTCTGCGCACGGCACTTACTTCATCTGTTTGACGATGGTGCTCTTTCCTGACTCGCCAGCACCTGGAAGAGAGGGCAGACAAGGGACATGTCCACAGGGTCACTACCTAAGAGTCACAAGCAGCCTGGCTGTTAGGAGCCCTGAGGCAGAACTCCCCCTCCAGGCAGGTGGCCCCTGAGATGGAGAGAATGGGCCTGGGGGCAGCTGAGCGAACTGGGGTGTGACAGCGGGAAGCTGCCGCAACCACTCTGTGGGAGACTGCGGCCTCTGCCTCCCTAGGCCACTGCTCACTACGGATCCCAGCTTCCCACACTGCATGTCATGCTCACATACACTGGCTTGCCACCTGTGCAGCCAAGTCACTCACATGGCATCGCAGGCTGGGCCAGCAGGCAGGTACTCTGCATATGATAACCGGGCAGGAGCCTTTTCTGCCCATGATAAGGCTTAGGTGCCAGTGACCCAGGGTCACACTCTTGCCCACTGGACATGGCCGGTGGCCAAAGGCCTACTCTTCACTGCTGGGCCAGCTCTTCCCTGAGCAGAGGGAGAGTAGAATCTTGGGAGACACGCATACACACACACACCCCTATACTGACTCAAGCTTCTAATTCAAACTGCCGGAGTCCCTGTGCCACATATCTCCTCTGTTTTTATTAAATTAATTTTATTGAGAATATCTCCTCTGTTGGGGCTGGGGAGATGGCTCAGTGGAATAAGCACTAACCTGGCAAGCGCAAGGGCCTGAGTTCAATCCCTGGTTCCACCAAAAATAAAATTAAAAAAAAAAAAAGAGAATATCTTCTCTGTTGATGTGAGAGGTTTGACATCTTTGTGATATTTGTCGCAGCAACCCCATAAGCAGAAACAATGTTTCTGTTCCCATTTTACCGACCAGGACATGGAGGCTCAGCAAGGTCAAGTCTTTTTTTTTTTTTTTAATTTTTTTATTTATTTGTGCGTGCATTCGTGCGTGGGTAAGTGCGTGTGGCCAGCTCAGCCCACCAGGGGGCGGGGCTGGCTGGCATGTGGTGCTAGGGGATTGAACTGTGGTCCCCGTGCTCTGCTAAGCTTGTTCTAAGTAGGTGCTTTAGACCACTGAGCCATCTCTCCAGCCCCTAATCCTTTTAATTTTGAGACAGGGTCTAAATTGCATAGGCTGACCTTGAACTAGCAACCTACCTGCCTCAGCCTCCTCCTGAGTAACTGAGATTATAGGTGCGTACCATCATACCCAGCCTAAAGCCTTGCATGCTTTTTACACCATGGTGCTAAAGAAACATGGATTCAGAGCTTTCATCTCCCTTCCATGGACTGGGACGAAGTGTGGCTCCATGGTCCTCAGGCAAGCCCCAGCACCAGTCTAAGCTACAAAGATCCAGAGTGTTGGAGCTACAAAGCTAGGGGTGGTGGTGCATACCTGTAATCCCAGCATTCAAGAGACTGAGGCAGGAGGACTGCCATGTCTGAGGCCAGCCTGGGCTACACAGTGAATTAAGGTCAGCTTAGACTATATAGCAAGAACCTGTCTCAAAAACAAAACAAAACAAAGCAAAACAAAAGTGTTGGAGCTATAGGTGAAGGGAGTGAGAGGGGACAAATTAGCCCTTCAGGGAGAGAGCAGGATGCTAATCTTGCAATTACTGCTCCCTCTGCCGAGCGGCCTGGTGTGGTCCCTGTGTGTGTAGTGGAACATGCTGGGGCCTGCCAGGCCCAGTGGGTACTTTCCCTAGCACCCAGTAAAATGTGGGCTCCCCAGAGAGGGCAGACACTTTGTGGGTATCCCAGGGCCTCATCATTACTAGATTCCCTAATTAGTATTAGTGGCACTGCTATAGGGCCTGAGGGCTACGGTTGCTGCTCCCTGGGGCTGCGCCTGGCCTCTGTTGCTGCTGCTGCTGCTGCCCTCTATCGACGGCTTGCTCCTGGGCAGGCCTGCTGCAGCTGGGCCAAACCAGGCCAGAGGGAAATGATCTCAGAGACACAGGGACAGAACAGAAAAACAGGAAGGGCCATGGGGGACTGTGACGCATACGTGTGCTATGACCTGTATGTATTCCTTGTACCCCCCAGGCTGGAGGCCTTAAGTCTTTGCAACAGGTGGTCTCATCCCAGGGACCCCCCAACCCACCAATTTGAATGACCCCTGTGAAGAGGGCTGGAGATCCCTCTCCCCTGGGTGATCCAGTCAAGGGAGAAAAGGACCTGTGGTCACTGCTGAACCCTCAACGCCTACAATGGTCCTAGGCATAGAGGGGTACTTAACGTCTGAAGAGAGAGAAAACAGGATTACAAAAATATAGAAAGTAGCCTGGAGGTGGCTGTCCCTGCCCTGTTTGACCACTGGGTTGGGGGGACAGTAACAAGGCAATGGTTCACAGGGTTCACCCCCTTCTCAACCCTTGTGACCCAGAAGCTCTGCTGGTGGCTCAACCCGTGACCAAACTCTCAGTGGGGCAGCTCTGAGGCTTGGAGGCCACTCAGTATTTGGCTGGGATCCCACAGCTCCTGCAGGAGTGTGCAGGGTATGTGTGTGGGGGGAACAACACACTCACAAGGGAGGCCAGGCCACTGGGCAGTGCTGACCATATGATGGAGCATGCGTAGGAGTCCTGGTCAGGCAAGACCCTCCTCCCACCCACCCACTTAGCTGGGCAACAGGAGCCACAAGGGTGTTCCACACAAAAGACCTGGCTAAAGGAAGGCTGGAATGCTATTTAATGACAGTGCATGACACCTAGAGCTTGTCTGCCCTGTCTCCTGTGGAATCAGCACCCTGCACTAGTCTGACATGTGAAAGGGAATGCAGGAAAGGAGTTCAGGAAAGTGGGCAAGGCCCACCTAGTCTAGGTCTGTCACACCTCTGGGACCCCTGTACCCTCCTGTAATGCTCCCAGCTAAGCCTATGGCTTAGTCTATGCCGGCTAGGCTCACAGCAGAGTCCAGGCTCCAGCCTAGGCACATACCGGCTACCTTCAGACAGCCTCTTCTCCCTCGGGGGTCCCTTGCCTGAACTCCCAAGTGTCAAGTGCAGCCCTGCAGCTTACAGCCCTTTCCAGCTTCTGCCTGGAACTCTTTACCACTCTTCCTCTGTGCATCACCCTCCCAGAATAATGATGCTCCCAGCTTTCACTGCTTTAGGGACCTGTCCACTCCACTCATCACAGTGTCCCTGGCAAACAGCAAGTGGCAGCAAACATTTTCTTCAACATTTATGTGTAAGACAGATAAGGTTCGGGGCTGGTGAGACGGTTCAGTGGTCTAGAGCACCTACTTAGAACAAGCTTGGCAAAGCATAGG